CAACTGCCACAATGGGGTCATGGTAGTTTGAAGTTAGAAGTCAACTGCCTTTAATAGACTTTTTTGCCGTATGAGTATACGTTGCCCAGCGGTTTATAGACTTTTTGCCGTATGAGGTCTGTTGCCCAAATATGACATACAGTGGGGTCATGGTAGTTTGAAGTCAGAGGTCAACTGCCGGTTTATAGACTTTTTGCCGTGTTAGGGTTAGATCAACTGCCGGTTTATAGACTTTTTTGCCGTATGCGCATACACAATGACATACAGTGGGGTGATGGTAGTTTGAAGTGAGAAGTTGTGACATATAGTGGGGTGAGGGTAGTTTGAAGTCAGAAGTCCACTGCCGGTTTATAGACTTTTTGCCGTATGAGTATACTTTGTAACATACAGTGGGGTCATGGTAGTTTGAAGTCAGAAGTCAAGGCATACAGTGGGGTCATGGTAGTTTGAAGTCAGTGGTCAACTATACAGTGGGGTGATGGTAGTTTGAAGTGAGAAGTCAACTACCAGTCAATAGACTTTTTTCCGCATAAGTATACGTTGCCCAGGGTGCACCACATGGAGGTTGTAAGTACACGTTGCCCAGGGTGCACCACGTGGAGGTAGCCGTATGGGATGTCAACTGCCGATTAATAGACTTTTTTGCCGTATGAGTATACGTTGCCCAGGGATGTCAACTGCCGATTAATAGACTTTTTTGCCGTATGAGTATACGTTGCCCAGGCTTTTTTTGCCGTATGAGTATACGTTGCCCAGGGTGCACGTTTTTTGCCGTATGAGTATACGTTGCCCAAGGTGCACCACATTTTTGCCGTATGAGTATACGTTGCCCAGGGTGCACCACGAGGAGGTAAGTCTATCGCACACCCCTTATCGCCAAATATAAGAGACATTTTCTAAATAATCCTACTGGCTGTGGACAATTTCTGGTGAAACCTTAATTTAACCTTGAAAGCCAAATAACTTCCGACAATAATTGCTCTATGTTTAATTACCGGGCTGTAGTCGCAAAATTGGCTTCTGGACATCACGCAGAGCCGTGCAAGCGCTTCATGTCGCATTCAATGTGATATAAGACGCGGGATCTCCTTTACCTTGGCCACACTGTGAATGAGCTATTTATTGACCTCAGAAAGCTTCTCCATTTAATTAACCCTTTTTAGCCGTCGTTGGATCTAAAATAAATGAATCCACCTACGTTGTATTGATTTGTCAAATGACTCATTAATTTCTTCAGTTTGGATGAAAATTTATTACTTGTGGGTGGAAAACTGGAAACTGGTTGAAAACAAAAATTAATTACCTCTTAAACAACTGGAACCCCATTTAATTGGTGAACCAGATAATTTTGATATTTCTCATACAACACCAGTCACATTATTGTATTTGAGTGGCTGATTTTACAACTAGGAAATGCAAATAATGTGCAACACGCCCTCCAAGCAATGGTGTTAGTAAAACAGTTTTTGAAGGGTCCGCTTGAACTTTATACCTGAAATACTTCCAACGAGGTATTGCTCTCTTCTCAAAACGACAGAAAAAAATAAATCATTCGAATTCTTCCACTCAAGTGAATTTGATAGCGTGGAATAGCATCCAGAGCGGATGTAATCTTGTCTTATCAAAAAACATCTGATCATAAGACATATATTCAATTATCAAGAGTGTCAAAACAGCTGTTAATGTTTATTTATTTATATTAAATGGCAGGCGTTTTGATAGTTATCATTAGCCCTTTAGTTGACTTCAGGCTTCACAGTGGGGAAGGAATATTACAGTGAAAAAAGTCGAGAGGGGGGGGGGGGGAACAGAAGAGTGTTTCAAAGATGTAAAAGAGACAGACACAAAGGTAGAAAAAAAGACAAGATGAGTACTGTGAAAGTAGCCGAATATGACATACAGCGGAGTGATGACAGTTTGAATTCAGAAGTCAACAGCCTGTTAATAGACTTTTTTGCTGTATGAGAATGCGTCACCCAGGGTGCACCATGTGGAGGTAAGTCTATCGCACACCCCAGCTGTTAATATTATATACATGTAAAGTATGGCTACAAAAATGATCTCTAATTAAACGTGACACCAGGTGTGTTGACATGGACGTCATGGTGCCTAAATTAATGGCTGCACTTTGCACGGATCACCTTTTTGTGCCACCGAGTGGCCGTCTAATCACTCACACTGACTGTTCGTATTTCTACACCTAAAATGACGTATTTTAGGTGAGTTTTAAAATAAACAAAGTAGAGACCTTTCATATGATTTCCACTCATCCACAAATAACTTGATTTGGCTAAGATCAATATGTTCTAATTTCATGTTCTAACTCCTCCTTCAAACCCTTCTCAATCTTGGCACTACGATGTTGGCCACAACACATATTTCCTTATCTCAAACTTTCCGTTTCACTTCAAAATAATAACTATTTCTTTAAATTTCTAGGTCTTTATGATAAATCTATCTTCGCTATGACTTTCGCAATATTTCTTTCTTTCTTGAACCTATCAATGGTGAGATAACGAGTCATCAAAATTCTTTTATAAATGGGGCGTCTAGCAAACAAAAGAGCTTATGAGGGAGGCTCTAATGCATTTCACTAACCTTTAAAAATTGGTTAGGCCTACTGTTGGAAGCAGGTCTAAGTATAAAATAAGCTAGCCTAAAAATTTATCCCGTTCGTTGTAAAAGTTATACAATGATTGGCTAAAATTAGTAGAAAAAAGATAATTCTGGGTGTAATTGTAACCCCAAAATGTTATTTTATGTCAAAATAATCCTATTACTTATTAAAATCACAATTAGTTCCATTGCCTTTTCGTAATATACTTAACAAAGGTATAACTTAATGAATTTTTGTTGGGAAAAGTTCTGAAAAGACAGAATTTATAGCTGTTTGTTACATAGATAAGCCAAGGCAGAGCTTCTATCTCTATGACAAATTATCCTAGCATTCAAGGACTCCCCAAATTAGCTATAAAGCAGTCAATCACATCGAGGAAACAGAATTCATGGTGTTTAAGTAGAAATTGAATTTCAGTTCATTTATGTAAATGCAGTTTTACCTATTTATACTTACTTGGCTTAGAAAAATATTTAACTACCATTTTCGCGGTGAAGAGGGTGTTTTCATGCATTTAAATATTATAATCAAAAAACCGATGCATGTTATTCATTTGGACAAGAAACGCAATTGGACTTCCTGTCTAGAAAACAGAACCTAAGTTTCTTGGACCAAACTTCATTTCCATTTCTCGAATAACATTTGTAAACGTTTGATAGTAAAGTTTTACCGACTGTGTTTCTTGAAATACCCCACGTAATAATTACATTTTATTCAAGAAAAAACTTGTCAAGGTCACCTTATTGAATGCAATTTTCCATCACCAAGTAATTGGTACTTACAGCAAATAGTATTAAGCAAGTTTTGATCTAATTCCATGTTCTTGAATTCGCCTTCTTAATTTCTTACATCTGGTTTGCATAAACTTTTATATGACCATACAAGATTTAATCAGAAGTAGAGGAGTTGCAATTAAGGCCATTTAACTTCTCGATATGAATTAAATTTTAAGCGATTGACTAGTGCAATCACTTTTGATCTTTTAAAAAATTGTTAATTAAAAGTAGGAATTTGAAACGTGAGCTGACTTCAAATAAAAACTATAATATAAACCTCTTAATACGTCTACTTTACTCTTATCGTCCTACTGAACCCTTCCCCACCCCACCCACCAAACCTCATGACTTGCTACTATGGAAGCCACTTTAATTTAATCCTTATTATTTTGCATCAGGTGGTAAAACTAACTGACTGTTGTAAATAATTTAATTGAGGTCAACAACAGCACTGACCACGTGTTTAACTAATTTCAATTCAGTCAGAAGCGTAAATCATGGCCAAAATTTTGTAGTTACTTTCATTCAACTTCATCTTAAGGATTGAGGAAAATAATTGCATAAACAGAGGGAGGATATTCATTTGGCCTCAATTTTACCATGTGTTGAAACGACTAGGAAGTTGGCATGCAGGAAGTATAGACTTACAAATTATGAAGCAAATGTACCGTTAAGTACGAATTCGAACAAATTGAAAGTCAGAATTGGTGGGAAGGTATACAACCATTAATGCATTAATTATTCATTAGCTGAAGTCAATATATGCATTTTCAAGGACACACTGCATGGTCGAATGGTCCGTGATTGGGAACTAAATAACCGTTAAAGAGTCCATATATATAACTATTTTAATACTACTGTCCACTTATTGTGGCTTCTTCTATTCCCAACATTTGAACATTTATAAATGAACAATAAATAAATTTGATGAAAAGGTTGAATGAATAATTACTGAAAAGTGAATTAAAAGCAAGAAAGAGAGTTAATAAATTATAAAAACTGTTAACTTAAAACGTAAATTTTCCAGTCGTGTACGCTGCTTTAGTCAGATGTGTTGCAATGAAAGACAACTCCAATTTGACAAATTTCTCAGGCTCAGAGAACCGTTAATATTGCGTGGGTGCTGAATAGAAATCCCCAATTTAATTCTCAACCTATTTAAAGGTCACTCTGATAAATAGTTAATCAAAAGTCATGCATCATGTTGTTTGAACCATATCTTTGCCTCAACTTTTGCCCTAATTGATTAAATTTTGAAAAAAAAACTTTTCCACTTTGAATTCAATACAGAAGTTAGTTTAATGCCACTAACCGAATTGTTACCTATGGTATGAATTGAGTTTCTATTGCATTAAGTAAAAATAATACTCGCAATTAGAAGTATTAGTAACCTACAGGCACTCGAATACTATGGGAGCAATCCCCTTTTATTAATTTCAATGATAGAAGGTATCAATTATTCATCATTCATGGTTCGCCAGAATGAAACGGGATTCATCTTTCAACTCTTTTATCATAATTACCTTAACAATGGAGACTTCATATTAAAGCTAAAATTCAAAATGTAACATTTAATAGTAGATAAATTGTGCTTTAAGAATGAGGTATTATGCAAGATCAGCAAGCTCTAGGAGACCTTCACGATATTTCTTATCATTGGCACGTTGCTTGTTGCGCAGAGGAACAGTAATCCGGGTTCGCCCCCGCCTTGCAGGCGAGGGAGTTGCATAAGTTCGAGGGCTCGAGGTCACCTTCTTAGCCCAATCCTTTTGGTCATATCTTTTGTAGCCAGGGTAACTAGCTCCACCTCTCCAGATGACTTTATGCCTCTGTCCAGTACTGGAGGAAGAAGCAGGTTTAAGAGTATATTTAACGTTGCCTTGACCATTCTCTCCAAGTTGCAGTCTTCCGTAGTCAACGTACTCATGTCCCTCGTCGTCTAATCAAGTTTTTTGTTTATTTTTTTATAGATATTGATTTCTTACCATTATAGGTTCTGTACTTTCGGGTCTGACCGAAATTGAAGTCCCTGGTGGATGCTTTTAAAATTATAATTTAATTCACCAAATAATTGGGAAAATATGCAAATAAATGTGCAAAATATAAACATTTTTACTACTTTAAAACAATAGTTTTGGATTTAGATGTTGTTATTAGGAATTATTTGCAAAAAAATGTGCAACTATAATCAGTTGGTGTTGATGTGGACTTTGAAACTTTTATTTAAAAGTTCACGTAAATACTGCTCTACAGTTATGTTGGAGTAATATAATTAGACAATTTACCAACCAAAAGAATTTTAAACTACATGACAAATAATTAACCTTGCTCCGATATTGACAAAATTATTTGGTGGTAGCTTTCTGATTCATCATTGGTTTTAAGCAACAGACAGTATTCGATGTGGCTTATTAGCAATGAAAATCACTTAAATAGTCAATATAGGGAAACAATCGTGAACTGGGCAATTGGTACATTAGAATACGTAGCTATGGACTCAAAACATGATGTAAGGGACTTTGAACCGAATTGGGAGATCAGGATGCGTAATAGTCTGGTTTTATCTTCCAATTACCTCTTTCTTTGATGCTTAGTCTACTACCTAATTGTTTCTTAAATTCATATGATTTAAAGCTGTACTCTTCGGTGGGTAGAGAACAAAAATAATAAGCAACAATAAAGTACTTCGATGCTTTGGTAATACGACGAATCATTTTTATTTCTTAGTTATACGCATGCAGGAAAGCTACCCTTATTAATAAATTACACACACTAGCTCCCATTGAGTCCTTGGAGTTGTAAGAAGTTTAGTCTAACAAACATAGTTCCAAGAAAGTTTGCCTCCACTTATCGATTTTTTCTCAAAAAATATGCATTTCAATTAACAAATTATTTTTCTGGGTGTTTATTTTTTGCACATCTTAGTGAATAAGTAGAGAGAGCATAAATAGTGACTTCTTGTACAATTAAATATTAATTCCATTATTGCATTCATAACTTCTATCTAAAGTGATAAAGGATTAGAAGTATATTCACTACCCAACTTAAAAATTTGAACCATATTTATTTAACAACATTATTAACCAATTATTTTTACTTACTAGAAGTTGTAGCAAATGATGAGTACGCAATAGTTAGTAGAAGAAACATTTCCAGCGGCTAAAATTAATTCCTTTCAAAGTGTAGCAAAATTCAAACTGATTTGTTAGATAAAGAAAGTCGCATGCACACTTACTGACATTCTTAATCAAATAAATTAGAAATCAAATTCTTGTTTTCTTTTATAGTGTTCAGTACTTTTTAATTGACCTCCTAATGAAATGCTTTCATTGGTCCTATAATTCAAACACAAATGACCAACAACTAAGCATTCACTTATTGATACCTTTCACAATTCTACTTTTAAAGTTCACTTCTAATCAAACAACCTAAACCTCACTTTTTAAGATAACGTTTTAAGATCAGCTGATTAATGCGGAATCAATTATCCTATCCAAAATATATTTAAGTAATTTGATAATTGGTATCTCCAATAAATAGATATCCAAGATAGAGATAAATTAAGGTGATTTCACTTAACATGAAGGTAAACAAATAAGATTTCGTTCGCTGTTTATGTTTGCCAGTGTCAAGGACATTTAAGTTTGCATTATGAAAACGTGTTCGTTGAAGGAATCGTTGTCAATCAATAAGGTCTTAAAGCAGCTTATTCTGCGGATAATCAAATAATCTTCAGTCGACGCTTCGAGCTTTTTTTCAATATGTAAATTACTACGAATTTATTATTGCTTAATTGATTGGTTTTTCCCTTTGTTTCCTATTTATTTCGACTGACAGCCGAATCTTTGTCCATATTTACACAGCCGTAATTGTTATTAGTAACGATCTCTATGTTTACACAATACATATGTTTCTCTCTCATTCCCTCCAACTCCCTTCTATCTACAGTTCATTTAACCCCTACTTTTGTTAGAGTTAAACCTAGTCGAGCACCGGCAACATATGCCTGCTATTGGTTGCTCAAATTAATTTTTTCAGGTTCATTAGTAAGGAAAGTAATCTCGTTTGCTTCTATTTCAAATGTAAAAACGCTAAAGTCAAGATCAGGATGAAAATGTACAAGTACATTGAATTTAATTTTCATTTTTATTTGACAGCTCAAAACAAGCCAAACCGGTTGAGACTTAGAGGATTTTAAAAGGTGAATTAGACAAGATCAGCAAGTTCTTCCAAACCTTTACGATATTTTGGATCTTTAGCTCGTTGCTTGTTACGAATTCTGATGCTTCGTTTTACAGGCTGGCGTTCTTCTAAAGTCATGATACCCTTGTTGGGGTCCTCAATGATGTCCTTGGTCTTTCTGAAGGGGGCTTCATCATCTATTTCTGGATATTCTAGCCATGTGTGATGTTTCGGGAATTCGATGTTGTGGCCCCAATCAATGTCATGAGAAGGTTCGTCATAATCGCCTTCATCTCGATGACCTGGAAGTAGAGATTCAAACAGTTTCTCACCACCATTTAAAGTAATAAATCAACTATACATTGCAAAATCTGAATTTAGTGCAAAATCAGAAAAGGACTTGTAAGTAAGGTGTTAGTTTCTACTTCAGTGGCAACTTCCTCAATGGTAGATAGTTAATCATGTTTCACTAGGTTCTGCTCAAGAGAGATATTTTTCCCTTCCTCGTGAATCGTTATCAAGTTATAATCTTTCTCTTTGATGCATTTACCCTATCATAAATGACTGCTTTCCATGGCACAGAGCCGCCATAAGCCCATTGCAAAGATTTTTTGATCGGAAAAAGTTTCAAATTTAGTTTAGTTCAAAATTTTATGCTAGTACTGATCTCAAAATTAGCCTTGTTGGAGCTTTAAAATCGCTATTTATTCTGTTATCCTGGCCTTACTGGAATGTTTTGGCAATTGTATGTTATTAAGAAGGCTCTAAAGACATGTTTGAAAGCGTAAAACTTCATTCAATTTGTCTGAGGACTTTAACACTCACCCTCGTATCTGCCACCAAAATGGGCCAAAGTTGCGCAAACAAGGCCGAGGAGAACAAAGAGTTTAAGATTCTAAAAGTCGAAAAATGACCATCAGTTACTTATACTTGAAATAAATATTATAAATTCAAAGGGCAACTATTTGACGAGGTGTTTCTGGACAAATTTTCCTGGTGGCGGTTTTTAACTTACGGACATAATGGTGAGGGAGTGTTAACACTCACGTCAACATCTGAAGCCTTTTATACGACGAAGTGTTAACTTAACTCACCAATTTTGTCGTGTAATTACTTCCGGTCTTCTATCTAGAAATAACACTCACAGTAATTCAGGCTCAATTATCTCGCAATTATATCCCATTATTTACTTTAGTCGTTGGTGAATTGTAAAATAAGGAAAATTTAGATTCTAGCCCCTAACAGTTACATCCCTGATTGAGTTCTCATAAGTACGATAAGAGGAAGAAGAATGCACATTTAAGTATACAAGACAGGAAAGGCAAGGGTCCAAAAACCACTCTTAATGAACTTTTTCTGGTTGTATTAATTGTGCTGAAATAGCAGTAGAGACTACACGGTTAGGAATAACACCCTATTGCAAACCACTTTATAAAGAAATTGGGCCTATTGCTATCCCTAACGCAATAGTCCTCATATATGAAATCATTCAAGAAGATCTTAGGAAATCTAAGTTGTAAGAAATCAAGTGTTTTGGAATTGCAAACTTCATCCTTCACTTTCTTCCATCAGTTATGCAACTAACTTATCAATAACAAACCTAAACTATCTAATTTTCATTTACTGATTCTCAAGCACGTACATTGGTATATTTCAACCCGAAATAAATTCTATATTAATATATATTTCATTATCAAACTGTAAAAAAGAAATAAAAGAGCTTTGTTTGAATGAATATCATCATAAATCGAGAATTTGATAAGGGTAAACAAAATGGAAGAGATTTATGACCTATTAAAAAACATTATTCCAAATCGAACGATTTATTAATAAATCTGTGTTCAGCATATTTTAGGGAAAATAAAATAGAATAAGAGCTTATAATGTTTTAATTACGGGGTGTGCGATAGACTTACCTCCTCGTGGTGCACCCTGGGCAACGTATACTCATACGGCAAAAAAGTCTATTAACAGGCTGTTGACTTCTGAATTCAAACTGTCATCACTCCGCTGTATGTCATATTCGGCTACTTTCACAGTACTCATCTTGCCTTTTTCTCTACCTTTGTGTCTGTCTCTTTTACATCTTTGAAACACTCTTCTGTTCCCCCCCCCCTCTCGAGTCTATTAAACGGCAGTTGACTTCTGACTTCAAACTACCA